AGCTTGAGGCTCTGTCTCAAAAAAAAAAAAAAAAAAAAAAGAACTTACTAAGGCCAGTTCATCCCATCCTGGGCCTCCTACAGGCCTCAGGCAGGCAGAGAGTGGGGGCAGGGGTGTGTTGGGGGGGGTGGAATCACCTTCTAGGCCTCTCTGCCCAGCTGAATTGGGCCTGCAAATGAGCCCCACTTCTGCCTGAATACCTGTTTGCTAACACTCTTTAGGCCACAGGAAATAGCTTTCATAAACTTTACCCTTGCAGGAGAGTGACTAGGGGAGTCAATGATTATTTGGGGGTCTCTGTTTGAGGCAACTAGGGGATAAAACCTATTTATTTGTTTAAGGGGTTGTGGTAACATTTTAAAGGATATCCTCCAGTATTCTCGCCTAGTGAGCAGGGATATAAAAATATATCACAGGACCCAAAAGTGTCACATAGAACCTAACAGCAGTACTGTGGTATTGATTGTCAGGGATTCCAGAGCACTTTGATGTATATCTTAGTTGATTTTCATAGCAGCCATGTGAGGGAAAATTATCCCCATTTTATACATGAGAACACCGAGGCTCACAGAGAAGGAGTCTTTCTTGCTCAGTGTCAGAATCCTTAACCAGAGCTGTGTTATGAAATTCCCTTAAACATGGAGGGCCTGTGCACTGCTGCCTTGAGAGCTTCCCTGGGCAGGATCACCCCTGGGCTCAGGTCACCAAAGACTGTTGTTCTGCCACTCAGGCACCTACGGAATTCAAGTCATGCAGGAGCTTTTGTGATTGTGACTGAGGAAGCCATTGCCAAGGGTATCCGGAGGATTGTTGCTGTCACGGGTGCTGAAGCCCAGAAGGTGAGCAGATCTGACTGGGTTGTGGCTTATTTGAGCAGGCGGGAGGAGCGCAGTCTCTGCTGTGCTGTGGCTGCTGTGATCAGAATGAAAGTGGTGTGCTACTTCCAAAGTCCTCTGGTTCCCCCTACCTGGCAGAAGAAAGCCACCATTGCCATGAGATTTCCACGCTCCTTTATGTTTAATCTTTTGAAATATGTGTGAGTTTGGCTTCTTACTCCTCAATAGTTCTTGGAGGAGAGTACTACATAGTTTTGCTGTGGCTTCAAGTATCCCCAGAGCTTATCCACATGTCCCTAGGGTGCGTCCCCTAGTCTGACATATATGCAGTAGGATGCTAACTCTGGATGTATGAACTGTAGCTTGTGTCTAACTGTGCCAGTACCTGAGAGACGGTCATTTCAGAGGCTGACAAGGGCTCCTGTCAAATTCTCAGTCATGTCCTCAGCCCAAGTAGAAGCAGGCTTTGCTGGCTGAGGGTGAGGAAAGTTTTCTAGGGCAGGAGGGCATGAGGCTGCTTCCTGGGAGAAAGAAACTTTTGGTGTCTTGAGTGTGTTGCTCCATACCCTATTGTTGGGGCTGCCATAGCCATTTACACACAGAATAGTGAGGCTACATGTCACCTGCCTTGGAGTTTACAACTGTGATTGTCCCCTCCTAGGCCCTCAGGAAAGCAGAAAACTTGAAGACATCTCTCTCTATCATGGAAGCCAAAGTGAAGGTCCAAACTGCGCCAAACAAGGATGTGCAGAGAGAGATCGCTGACCTTGGTGAGGTAAGAGTGGCCTCCTTCCCTCCTCATGAGTCCGACATTCACAAGCACTCACTGTGGCCAATCAGGTCATGGTTCCCAGTGGAATGGGTCTCTGGGTTGACTTCTGTGGTCTGCAGCCTTGCCAGGGGGACCCCATGGGTCCTGGCCTGTGAGCCCTTGGACCTGCCTGCCACTCCCATTTCTCCTAGTTGGTGAGCTCAGTCTGAGTGTGTCCAGAGCTGAGGGAGATGGGGAAGGTCCTGAGGTGTCTGAGCCTGTGCTTCTAGCCTGGAAAAGACCTGGCTTCCTAAGAGCCCGGCTTTCTCTGTGCCACTCTGTCTCTTCCTGCTGCCTTTGGTCCTGCAGAGACTAGTCTCACAGCTCCCCAGTTGGGGCCATGAGGCTGCTCACAGATGCTTTAGTGGTTTTGCTTTTTTTTTTTAAAATCTCTCTTTTCCCAGACACTAGTCAGGGGGCACATTAGTTGAAAGCCAGTAGAGTGAATGGACTGGAGCCTTCACCCTTGCTCCTGTGATCTTGTGGTTCTGTTTGCAGTCCCTGGCCACCGCAGTCATCCCACAGTGGCAGAAGGATGAGTTGCGGGAGACTCTGAAATCCCTGAAGAAGATCATGGATGACCTAGACCGAGCAAGCAAGGCTGATGTCCAGAAGCGAGTGAGTCCTGGTCTTCAAGGAAGTCAAGAGGATTTCCTTGGTGGAGACCAGCGAGACTGTTGTCTGGGTTTGGGGGCCTGGGTTTTGGCCTGAGCCCCGCTTTTCTGGACTTTTCTTTTTGAAGGTGTTGGAAAAGACAAAGCAGCTCATTGACAGCAATCCCAACCAGCCCCTTGTCATCCTGGAGATGGAGAGCGGCGCCTCAGCCAAGGCAACCCAGGGGCTGGGGGTCCCCTTTCTTCTGGGTCTTACTGGCCCTCTGGTGGCTCCAAGTTGGGTGGTCACCTAGGGGCTCACTATCTGGGCTGGAGATCAGGCTGAGAGCCATGGAGAGACCTAGTGGCTGCAGAGCAGTGGGTCCTGGCAAGGGGAACAGTTCCTGGAAGTGGGAAGTCAATCTCAGTCAGGGAGGCTCCTGGGGACAGCACCTGCTTGTGGAGAGGTGGCAGGTGGATGGTGCTGAGCTCTGCAAACTGCTCTTATGGAGAATGGGACCCTTCCCCAGGCCATGGCCTGACACCAGCTTCTTCCTACAGGCCCTGAACGAAGCCTTGAAGCTTTTTAAGACACATTCCCCTCAGACATCTGCCATGCTCTTCGCTGTGGACAATGAGGCTGGCAAGATTACGTGCTTGTGTCAAGTTCCTCAGGTCAGAACTGCCTGCAGCCTTGGTCCAAACCCCGCAAGCCCCTATGGCAATGCGAAGCGTCAGTTCTTACGATTGTTTGCCAAACCTGCACTTTCATGTGTGTGCAGCCCACATTAGACATAGCTGTTTGTCACCTTAGCTGGTACCCCTTACCCTCAGGCCTTCTCAGTAGTGAATACATGTAAATGTGCTGGCTGATACCGAATTTTGCCACTCTATGTCTCTGTACTGGTGGTGGCCATTGACTACCCCTCTGTATAGCTGTGGAGTCTGTTTAAGCTTCTGCTACCACCCAGGGTAGGAATAGGTACCTGTGACTCCTTTATCCTTTTTCTTACCCTTGACCCCGCCTCAGTCCCATCCTATTCTGACTCCTATTTCTGGCTTCTGTCTTCTAGAATGCAGCCAATCGGGGCCTGAAAGCTAGTGAGTGGGTGCAGCAGGTGTCAGGCCTGATGGACGGCAAAGGTGGTGGCAAGGATATGTCTGCCCAAGCCACAGGGAAGAACGTGGGCTGCCTGCAGGAGGCGCTGCAGCTGGCCACTTCCTTTGCACAACTCCGCCTGGGAGATGTCAAGAACTGAGGGAGGAGTTACTGCCAACAAGAAATGTCTTCCTCTCACCAATGGGCCACAGTCCATCCAGCAGCTCTCCATCTACCATAGGGATATGTGAATCCTGGAACCTTTAAATAACCTCATCCGTCCTAACCCAGCAGTGACTAGAACTCACCTGGGAGCTACCCTGGGGTTCAGGGCCCCTGTGAATTTGTGTCCTGAGCCCTGCATGTCGGCACTATACATCTAGAACACTCTCCTGGGATTGCAGTTACTGTCATCACACTCAGGGCTACAGACAGCTCTCTAGACCCAAGGCTTCCGGGTCTGCTAGCAGGAATCGTTTTTGCTGCAGAGAATAAAAGGACCATGTGCAATACTTGATGATGCCTGTGATCTCTAGTCTCCCTGCATAGGGGCTCCCTGTTTGACAGCCCTTGGCTCCTTGGGCATCTGGAATAAATAATGTGGCTCCACTGGGCTCCTGGATGTAGTCCTCACCAAGTCAAGTGAGGAATCCCAGAATCCTGACCTTTGGGAATGGCCCTTGGGGTTGCCTCAAGATGCTGGTGGAGGTGGAGGCACAGCAGGTTGGGAGATGGAGAGACAGTAACAATTCACCGACAATGGTCTGTGTAGTAACTGGAAGCAGAGGTTTTTCCTTTCTAGGAGCCTCTCTTAGGAGAACTCTACATTTCTTAGGCTTGTGCCCCTCCACCCCCTCCTTTTGACGCTGTTGATGTGAGGTCAGAGATCTCCTCTGGCATAGGAAATATTTGGGGTGCAGCTATTGTCTCCCCACTCCACTGACTTCCCCATCATTCCAATTTCCTATATCCAAAGGTGGCCAATGAGGACAGGCACCCTGCTCTGGCCCTGAGTCTGGTTTGCCCAAGTCTAAAAACAGCTGGGTAGGGAAACGGGAGGTTACAGGGACTGCTTACCTGTGCAGGCCTGGGCTGACTGCAAGCCCTCCTAGGGCTCCAGGGTCACTCAGCTCTGCACAGTGAAGCAGGAGGAGCAGCAGTCTGTGTTGAGGGAGGGGAAGCAGAGGGTGGATGCCCTGGCTTCAAGGAGCACGTGCCAGGGTGAGGGGTATAGGAATACAGGGCAGGGAGAGAATCCCATTTGTTGACTCATCCATTCATGCAACAAAAGGAAAGAATGACAAAGTCCTCACCCTCTTGGGCAAGGCAGAAGGGAACACAGAAATGTCACACAAATAAGTACAAGGTCAAAATAATTATAGCCTCCACAAGTGAAAGGAAAAAGTCGTGCGCCCCAGGGTGGCTCCGGCCTGGAGGTTAGAGTAGCTCGACACTCCGGTAGGGCTGCCCAGGCAGTCCACCCCCACCCAGCCCTAGAGTCTCTGCCGCGGCCTAGCTCGGCGGCACCGGTCGTCCTCCCTCCCACCAGGGGGCGTTGCAGCCCCGCCGCACCCGCCCGCCGCTATCCCGAAAGCTCTCGCGCGGGCGCGCGACTTCAACTGGCGGAAGTGCCTCCTCGCGAGACCGGTCAGCAAGCGGAAGCGGCTCGCACGCTGCGCGCCGCCATGCCCGGGGACCACCGTCGCATCCGCGGTCCCGAGGAGTCACAGCCGCCACAACTGTACGCAGCCGACGAGGACGAGGCACCCACCGCCCGCGACCCGACCCGGCTGCGGCCCGTGTACGCGCGCGCCGGGCTACTGAGCCAGGCTAAGGGCTCGGCCTACCTGGAGGCGGGAGGTACCAAGGTGCTGTGCGCTGTGTCGGGCCCGCGCCAGGCCGAGGGCGGCGAGCGGGGCGGTGGCCCAGCCGGAGCGGGCGGAGAGGCCCCGGCCGCATTGCGCGGCCGCCTGCTTTGCGACTTCCGCCGCGCGCCCTTCGCGGGCCGTCGGCGCCGTGCGCCCCCTGGAGGCTGTGAGGAGCGCGAGCTAGCGCTGGCGCTGCAGGAGGCGCTCGAGCCGGCCGTGCGCCTGGGCCGCTACCCGCGCGCGCAGCTCGAGGTGTCCGCGCTGCTGCTCGAGGACGGCGGCTCGGCGCTGGCCGCCGCGCTCACGGCCGCCGCGCTCGCCTTGGCCGATGCGGGTATTGAAATGTACGACCTAGTGGTGGGCTGTGGTCTCAGCCGCGCGCCAGGGCCCGCGCCCACGTGGCTCCTGGACCCCACGCGGCTCGAGGAGGAGCGCGCCGCTGCCAGCCTCACCGTGGCGCTCATGCCGGTGCTCAATCAAGTGGCCGGGCTGCTGGGCAGCGGGGAAGGCGGCCCGACCGAGAGCTGGGCCGAAGCGGTGCGCCTAGGTCTCGAGGGCTGCCAGCGTCTCTACCCGGTCCTGCAGCAGTGCCTAGTGCGGGCCGCCCGCCGGAGGGGCGCCGCCACCCCACCCTGAACCGCAAGTCGGAGCAGCGACGGAGGCCACCAAGGGACCGTGCAGCCACTGTCCTCAGGACTCGACCGTCTGTGTCCAGACTGCAAAGTTAGCTGGAGCACCGGAGAGGATTGGGGAGGCGCGCATAGAGCTGATGCACCAGGCAGCTGGTTGGAGCAGCGTTTTACAAACTTATATTAAAGGAACTTTTCCACTTGAGCTGGCTCCCAGCTACAGCACAGTTGAAGAAACCTGTGAATACAGACTGATTCCTAAGTTGAAAACAATTTCAGCTGGGTAACCTGAAAAATGAGACTTGGAGCTGTTGTGTAAGGGATGGACCCTCCACAGGCTAGCCAGTGACTCCAATATAACTGGGCTACTTTTGAGAGGATGGACAAGGGGGCTGTGCCTTCTCACTTATATTTGAACCAGAACAAAACCATTTCATACTTGAGAAATGTTTTCTGTTGTGGTTCTTCTTGGTACAGGATTCAAAAGATCATCTGAACTGGGATACTGCATGCTTGATCCCCTGGTGTCCAGTGCTGAAGACAGCACTGCCTTAAATATACCCAGTCCCTTAGGACAGCATAAGCAGTAAAGGTGGTTGAAATACTAAAGCAACTTTAGGGGTTGATGTGGGAAATGTACTTTGAAGGAGAAACTGCCCCTTCAGTAACAAAAAGAGTGAGGGATAGTTGTGTCCTCCAGTCCCTGGTTTAGTGCTAGGCAAGAACACAGCTCAGGGTTGGGTAGCTGGGAAGAGTTTTGTTTTGAGTGGAAACCAGATCCCATCCTTGGTGGTGTGCAGAGCAGCACAGCCAGAGGCTGCCTCTGCTGCTGGTAAGAAGTGGGGTCCTGGGCTGGTGTGGTCATCTGGTGCGTCTTGTCTAGTTTTGGCTCCGAAGAGCAAGGCCCTGAGCAGTGGGAGCTTGGGAGAGGGCAGATGAGCTGCTAGAGTGCAAGCTTCTGGGTACTGGAAATAAAGCCTGGCTATTTCCTAAGGCGGAGCTGGGCTGGGCACAGTGGCTCACATCTGTAATCCTAGCATTCTGGGAGGCCAAGGCAGGTGGATCGCCTGACCTTAGGAGTTTGAGACCAGCCTGAGCAAGAGTGAGACCCCATCTCTATTACAAATAGAAAAACTAGGTGGCTCCTGTAGCTCAGTGAGTAGGGCACCGGCCACATGCACTGAGGCTGGCTGGTTCAAACCCTGCCCAAGACTGCTACAATGACCACAACTGTAACAACAAAAAACAGCTGGGCGTTGTGCCCAGTGCCTGTAGTCCTAGCTACTTGGGAGGCTGAGGCAAAAGAATCACTTAAGCCAGAGTTTGAGCTTGCTGTGACACCAGGGCATTCTACCAGGGTGACAGCTTGAGACTATCTCAAAAAGAAAGAAACTAGCTGGGTGTGGTGGCAGGCACCTGTAGTCTCAGCTACTCTGTAGGCTGAGGCAAAGAGGATCACTTGAACTCAGGATTCTGAAGTTGCTGTGAGCTATCATGATGCCACAACACTCTACCGAGGGCAACAAAACAAAACTGTCTAAGTAAATAAAATTCCAGTAAGGCAGAGCTGGCCTGCCTGACTGACTGTAAGAATGTGGTCTTCTGTGTGTGGCTTTTTGCCTGTTTGTGCTCAAGGCTGACTTGGAGGAAGCCGGGTGAGACTGCCCTTCAGGAGACAAGACAGCCTGGTTTCCCTTGGCACTTCAGCTTGGTATGAGTTTCTAAACATATGTTCCAAGGGCCTGCTCAGCTTCTCTAGGATGTGCTGGCCAGGGAATACCCGAGAACTAAAACGAGATTGAGTTCTAGGACCACTCCAAGAACCCTGACTAGGAAAAAGAAATACAAGTTTTATTTTTTCCCTTCTGACATTTTTCTAGAGCAGGTTTGCAACCCCAGCCAGAGACAAGATAGAAACAGGATGTAAAAACAGTGCCCCTCTTGAAGGATGGCTTTCTGGAGTCGATGAGTCTGGAACCAAAAGTTAGGGGCACACGCTGAGGGCCTGCTAGCTTCTTGTCAGACGGAGGGCAATAGTAGACCAGGTGTACCTGTCAGCCAGCTGCTGATTGGTGGCACCTGGGGGGAGAACAGCTGAAGCCGTGTCTGTATTCAGACAGGGCTGAGGGTATCTCCTGAGCTCTCAGGGGGACCCTGTTGTCTATCTACCTCTTGTGAGGTGGTCCTGGCTTCATGAGCATGGTGAGCCGGTGCTGGGCAGTTCTAGGCTGCCTCCCTTCCACCCCTGCCAGCCCTAGGACTAACCTGGAAACAACCTCCAAAGAAGCTAAACCCACCACTAGTGAGGCTTTCCAATCGGCTGAGCCCAGCCCCCACCTCACTGCCCCAGCTATAGAGCAGGTATCTCAGGCTACATGGGTGCCACAAGACAAGGAAAGGAAGTACCCAAGAAAGCCTGGTGCTGATGAGGCTGGGGGGATTCCCACCTCCTATTGGCTGCCTTCCTGTTCCAGTGAGTGAATCTTCACCTGGAGGAAGAGAAATGGGAACAGTGGTGACACAGTTGGGGGCATCTGCCCACATGTGGTCTCCCCCTCTACCCCACCTGACCTGTTTCTCAAGAGCTTTAAGAGCTCAGGGCTACTCTAGATTCTTCTTAAAACCTGGGAACCTAGAATAACCATGCAGAAGAAAGCATTGTCTCCATCTAGCCCATTCTTCCCAGATGTTACAGATGTGACTTGGGCCCTAAGCTGCAGTGAGAGCCCTCCTGACCCCAGGAGCACTGGCCTTGTAGGGAGGGCCCCAGCAGCAATATGAGCTTGCCTCACCTCAGTGACTACCAGGAGGTGGAATAGATGGCATGGTGGGGTATATTCAGGTACTTTAATGCTGCATAAAGGGCTCTTGTGGGTTCCAGATTGGATTTTTTCCATCTAGGAAGGTCAGTGTGCCATAGGGTAGGGCTAGGAAGAGGGCAGAAGTGGTTTTTTCTTTCTTTCTTTTTTTTTTTTTTTTTAAAGAGTCCACTGTGTTGCCTTTGGTAGAGTGCTATGGTATCATCATAGCTCACAGTAACCTTGAACTTCTGGGCCCAAGTGATCCTCCTACCTCAGTTTTCCTATTTTTAGTACCGACAGGGTCTTGTACTTGCTCAGACTGGTCTTAAACTTCTGAGCTCAAGCAATCCACCTGCCCTAGCCTCCAAGAGTTCTAGAATTACAGGCATGAGCCACCACCCTAGCCTGAAGTGGGGGTTTTAGCAAGCTTACTAGTTGGGTCTCAAACAAAGGGCCTGGGGCCATAGGGCACATCTGTGACATTCCTCCTATAAAGATCCCCCCACCCTCCACTGCCTTTCAGCAGAATGTATTTCAGCCCAGAACTGACCCAACTGCCCAACAGCCCCTGGCACAGCTGAGCCCACCAGGCTGGAGTCAGGAGGGATGAGCAGGGCAAGACCCAGCCTTCCAGCATGCTCTCTGGCCCACCACTCTAGAGTCCTGAATGAGACCAAGTCCCTCCCTTACTCAAGGGAGGCCACAGGGATCCAAGCACATGTAAGGATGGAGATGATACTCACTGCCTTCTCTGCGCCTGGGCTTTCATTAGCACCATCTGCCTCTGGGTTGGCCCTCTGACCCCTGGGCTCCTGTGAGGGCTCAATGCTTCTGCTTGAGCCCTCACTACCAGGGCACCTATTCTCTTCACTGTCCTTTGTCCCTATATAGAGAGAGTTACCAGTTAACATCTAGGTTTGGAGGCCCCAGCTGACCCCAGAGAGGCCACTTGATGCCCAGTAATGACCTAGGGCATTCAGGGCTCAGGAGGACAGGAGGCAGATGGGCTAGAACATTCCACTCTGGCTCCAGATAACTGCTGAGTGAGCAGGGGTGATGAAACAACCCAAAAGCAACAAGGGTCCTCAAGCTACAAGAATAACTGGGGTAGGGGCTGTTACACTCCAGGGAGAGGGACCCCCTGAAAACAAGGAAAGTCCCAGGCAGGACCCTGGTTGCCCTGGTGTCTTCAAGAGTGGGAAAAGCTGAGGCCTACTAAGAGTGTGGCCTGGGCCAACACACTTGGGGAGCTGACCTGCCGGCTGGTCCCTCTGCCGGTCCATGCATTCCAGATGCTCCAGCAGGCTGTCCACCTGGGCTTTGATCTGGCTCAGCTCCCCTCTGATGGAGCGCAGTTCTTCAGGTCGGACTGCTGGGAGAGGGGCCAGGGTTGGTGCCCAGGCTGGGCAGTGGGGAGAGGACAGTGTTGCCTGAGTGTGTGCCCTCTAACTCACGCTTTATCTGTACAGGGGGTGGGCGGTTTTTCCTGGAGGCCCTGCTCTTGACCCCCGAGCGGGTCCTCCGGAGCTTGACAGGCACGCGATTGATCAGTGGGGGAATCCTGTGGTAATCATACACCCTGCAGGAACAGGAGATGGGGACTCAGGCCAACAGGCATCCCCCCCTCACCCAGAAGACCCAGAGGCAGAACCTACCCACCTGTAGGGAACATCTTCTCGGTACAGTTCATAGTTCAAGTCGTAGTTACTGCTAAAAAATAGGAGATAAATAAGAAGGGGTCACTGTCCAAGGTCAGAGTCTGCCTGGGCTACAGTTGAACTTGAGGAAACTGATGTATGCAGCTCTTGCTTAGAATGCCCAAGGTCACTTGGGAGACCACAGCAAACCAGCTTCCCGAGTTGGCCTCTGATAAGGGGTGTCTACCAGGTGGCTCCAGGTGGCAGGAAGGACACCCGCAGGCTTATAGCCACAGCTAAAGCCTGAGCCAACTAAGCCTCCCCTGCCTGAGCAGAGCACTGCTGATGTTCTGGATCTCAGCCTGGCAAAGGATGAAAGGGACAAGTTAAGTCAGAGCCAAAGCCTGGGTGGGGGTGTGAGAGCCCTTGATCCCTGCGTGGGAGTCTCCTGGATCGTGACCAGCACAGACAGGGCCAGCAGGCAGGGTTAGGGTTAGAGGAGTGGCCAGGCCCTTGGAGAGAGAATGAGGCTGAACAGTCCCAAGCTTACAGATAGGCCTCATTCCTTCCCACACACTAAGCACTCAGGGCTCTGGTGCCTGGAGGGGTGGGGGGATCTGTACAGAGGGACAACTGGGTCCCACCCTGGGCAGGAAGGCCCTATGAGGACACCACGGCAAAAGCTTCAAGTCCTGACTGGGGCTGGGGTAGGTAATGAGTTCAGGAAGGGGAGGAGCTACATGCAGGGGAAGGGGGAAGAGCAAATTTCTAAAACTTTATGGAAACAATTACCTATACCCCCAGCCCGCAGCCATCCCAGGAGAGGCAAGGCCTATGGAGATCCCTGGGGTGGAATGGAGGACATGGGGATGAGGCCCCTTCTTCTTTCATCTGGCAGGGTCCCCAAGCCTGCAGATGAGGTTTCCGGCCACTGCCCCCCAACACCCACTGCCACTTTCTGGCTTCAGGAGGTCTGAGCGAGGGCTGCTGCCAATTCCGTTCAGAAGAGGAGGAAAGAGATCAAGTAGGAGTGGTGAGGCCAGGTCCAGAATGAGGACTGGGGGATGGGGGTGGGTGGTGCTGGCAGGACAATTGTCCTGAGGGCTAGGCAAGACACAGCAGGGAGGACTGCTGTAAGGACAAAGCTTGAGGTGGTGGTGTGTTGCAGTGGAACAGGACTGCTGAAGAAGCAGTTCCCCTTGCAGGGCAGGAACCCTTAGCATGGCTGGGCAGAACCTGTGGGGCCACCAACTACCTGGGCTACTGGAGCCAAGGAATGGCTGCCATGGCATTGGTGGTTCGATGGTAGAATTCTCACCTGCCACGTAGGAGGCCCAGGTTTGATTCCTAGCCAATGCACAAGGGCAACTTTTTGTTCTTTGCCTTATTAGTATTTCCCATCTACAGATATCCAGACAAGCAAGGGCTGGGGGTGGACAGTCATCATGCGCTGCTGCAGTCGCCCACGCTGCAGGCAGGGATCCCTCCTAGCCTGAGGCTTCCCTGCCTCATCTGCCTTTGTCAGGGCTAAAGCCTTTTCTCCTCAAGGAAAGCAGCACAACTGCCCCCTGGCCTGGGCTACAAGTCCACACTTGTAACCATTAGCCCAGGGACACGTCCCCATGTCTTCTGCAAGTGTGGACTTCCCCCCAACACGCCCAGGGGAATGGCTGCGTGGGCAGAGGTCACACCACTTCAAGTGTCCTCAGACCCCAGCTGTGAAGCGAGAGGAGGGGACCTGTGTGGGCCAATCTTTCCACCACAGCCTTTCCCTCTACACTGAGAAATTCCATTCTGAAGCCTCAAATCTCAATTGGTTGGCCTGGGCTCAACCAATTCTCACAAGGGGTTACCCAACAGCTCAATGCCCATCACTGCTCCTTTCCCAGCTTATACCTACTCTATCTCAAGGGGCCAGAGCCACCACGGAGCCTCCTCCTCACTGTTGCCCATGGCCTTGGGGAAGCACTTGGTTGTCCTCACCAGAGTCCTCCCAGGACAACTGGATTTTTTTTTTTTTTTTTTTTTTTTGCAGTTTTTGACTGGGGCCAGGTTTAAACCTGCCACCTCTAGTATATGGGGCCAGTGCCCTGCTCCTTGAGCCACAGGTGCCACCCTGGACAACTGGATCTTAAAGAGGCG